CTGGTAAGATCCATAAACATAAGGTGACCAGGGCCAGCGAGATACCACCTCTTTTTAAGGCGATCAGCATTACCGTCTGGGTACTACTGGGACCGGGAAGCATCTGGCAGAAAGCATTATATTCCAGTAATTCTTCTTCTGTTACATCATGACGGCGCTGTACAAACGTCTTAATCATCATGCCCACGTGCCCCTGCGGACCGCCGAATGCGGTAAATGAATAAAAGACGACTGCCTTTAAAAAAGGGATATGGCGCAAAAACATGTAGGTCTGCAATGAAGATTTGCCGCCCGAAAAGTATAAACAATTAGTGTATTAACCTATCGTAATTGCGGTAAAGCTGTTGTATCTTGCAGCCAAATTTTAAAGATTACAGGATTATGGCACTTCAAACAATTATGCTTAATGCTCTTTATGATGGTGGTAACAAGATAGCACCCTATATTTCCTATATTTTCATCCTGTTGATGACCATAGAGCTGATATACGTTTTTGTAAAGTACGTGATCACTTCCAATAAGTAGTTTTCTCTTTGGATCAATCCGCCCATATCGCTGCTATCCGTACTGATTATCGCCTTGCTGCTTTAGAGGAAGGGATGGTTGGTGATGATCCGCTTGCTTTTTTTAGTAAGTGGTTTCAGGAGGCAGAGTTGGCAGGGGTGGATGAGGTCAACGCAATGACCATCGCAACGGTTGATGCAGCCGGTACGCCTCATGCCCGTATTGTCTTGCTCAAAGGGCTTGACGATCAGGGCTTCTCCTTCTTTACTAATTATCAAAGCGCGAAAGGGCAGCAGCTGGCAGCGAATGCAAAGGTCGCCGTTGTTTTCTTCTGGAGAGAGCTGGAGCGCCAGGTACGTATAGAAGGCACCGTCAGGATGCTGACACCGGCAGAAAATGATGCCTATTTTAATTCGCGTCCGGAAGGCAGCAAAATAGGTGCCTGGGCATCACCGCAAAGCCGGGAAATACCCGCACGGCAAGGATTAGAAGACTTGGTAAACAAGTATACCGAAGCTTTTAAAGACAAAGAAATTCCCCGTCCCGAAAATTGGGGAGGCTATTGTATCAAGCCGGATTATATAGAATTCTGGCAAGGGAGAAGCAGCCGCCTGCACGATCGAATTGTATTTGAGAAAGGGGTAGAAAATATTTGGAGACGCTATCGAATCGCGCCTTAAAAAAATCCCCTGAACAGTCTGTTTTAAGTTATTTAGCAGTTACTTTTACGGAACGGCATGATAGTTGCTAAAATAAACCTGGTGAATACAGAGGTTTACAGCATCGTCCTAAAAATAAATTAGCTTGTAACGGAGATTTTATATGTTTTCTTTCTTAAAAAAAACGAGAAAAAAAGAACTGCCTGGAGAAGTGCCGGTAGACTTCTCCTTTCTTGGCTGTGATATGCACAGCCATTTAATTCCCGGGATT